AAAGAAAGACACGGTTTGCTTTCTAGAAGGTACTGACGAACAAAGATAAGTATGTTATCGTCCTACGGGTATATACGTCACAACGAATCCACAGCTAAATGTTTCTTTCCGGGTCAGGACAGATGAACTAAGAACACGTCCATCCACATATCGCGTACAGGGGAACATATTATAACTACAATGCTTACATGTATCAGGTAGTTTATCGTTTATCTCCAGCATCTGCATATCCTAGTTTTATCTAAACGCAAATTAATATTTCCTTGTTTTAATGGATGTTGATATGGTACCATATACCTTGAAGGCGCAATGACCCGAGTCTTTGTGGTTTCGGACAACTTTTGTAGCAAGTAGGTACTAAGATAAACAGCAACCCAGCCACAGCCTGACATATGATTACGTTGCCCTAGTTTACCATGAACCATAATTAGTAGATGATGCACTACGCGTCACATGAAAGACCCCAATAACTGTCTTGGTGGGCAAAAGTATCAACAGGAATCCCAGTTCTAATGTACATAGAAGGCTCCAATACTAGCGATGCCTAGCTTCGTAGACAAGACACGATTCAAACAATTCTTGTTCTATAACAGCATGTGCTGAATTCAATTCTAAAGTGTATGTATGACTTCAAAGTACTGCGCTGTATGTGTTCCAACCCAACAAGCATGAAGACATATTGAAAACTGAATTCGTGGCAATATGTATCGTGAAGAAATGTCCACATTTTATTATCAAAGCAAACCGCTAAACAAAGATGAAACGAGCACGTGTCCTGTGTCATAATAACAGGGTTCGTTTTAGTTTATCCATTCTCTGACAATGTATGCCTGCCGATACGAGTTATACGAACAATATAACATAAAGAATATATGACCAGGCTAGCCTTTGCTAATGATCGCTATCAATCTTCAGCCAGTGCAAAACGTTCATCTGTCTCGGAAACTCATTTGTTATTTGCACTTACTGTTATCCAAGACACACAGAATAGACTGGTGCCGGGGTAGTAGGCTTGTTGGATAGCCCAGGCGATTGAAAATAAGGAAATATTTTGAGGCACCGTAATTGTCGATGGTTTAGAAAAAATATAAAGAAAAACATTTTCAAAGTAGGCTATCATGAAAAGACCTATATCTTAAATAGGGTTATAACGAAACGAACTAATGACCAAACAAATAGCTATGTGTGAGCATAAAATGAAGAGGGAAATGTGAACCAACATAACCAAATAAACAGGACGTAGCTAGCCATTGTTCTGGGTGGATTAAGTTAGGAGCGGGTCCAGTGCAAGGGCATGGCAGGGTACAAGAAGGAACAACAATGAACATTGTTTAATTTCTACTGTTAAGTCACCTACTTTCGACTTAGTACGAAAGGGCCATATAAGGTTATCGACTGCATATTGACTATAACGGCAAAGCAAGGATTTTATTCATTCAGTGTCTACATCTTTTTCTTTTTCTTTGTACAGATGAAGCAAAAGTCGTCAAGAACACCTGTCATGTCCATCAAACTGCGTCATTGAGGCCGAACGATTGACACGTACAGATATGGGGATCGGTCCACCCTTATTCTTCCTAGAAAGTCGGGACTGCATGAATAATATTTGTTTTCGGAAGACAACGAGACAGTTCTTAAAGACAGACGTTCTAATTGACAGATTTCCACACTTTGTTAAAGAGGTAGCTTGGCTGCACAAACATATTGTTATATGGACTTTTGGTATTGAAAGCAACGTACTAGAGTATTTTTACACCTAGACAATATGAAAAATCGGTATGGTTTAAGATAATGCAGTATCATTTTTTAATATATTCATTTAAAATTGTATTTTTGAATTGTTTTGGAAATCTCATATTACAACCTAGTTGTCATCTGATTGAGAGCTCGTGTACGCTTGAGTAACAATATAAGTCTCTGTTCGTGCCTTGAGAATTGCCAGAAGACATTTTCTAAGACAGTGATCTCAGGGGTATTAATTTAACATCGCATTTCCTTAAAGTGCAGTTTTGGCCCTCACCCATTCAGCACATCATGGCGTCAACACGATATACGTCCCTGTGTCACCATAATACTGGGCATTCAGTGACTGTAAAATACGGTTTGAGACATCCGTTGCGTGACCAGTCCGATAAAATGACATCAGAAAAATCTCGAACGGACGTTCGCTGTTAGTGCCATGTTCGCTAGGAGGTCCACTGCAATGCAAATGATCCGTCGTCTCAATACATGGAAACTTCCTTATGAACAAAATTCAAAGGAATTAACTTTTACATATTTGGTAGCAGAGGTAGTCAGTTTCTTCTAGAGTTTCAAGGTGAACATGTAGGTAGGACAAATCCAGTTGGTACAAAATGTCTGTGTAGAGCTTACAAAGCTGGTTTAACAACAGACGGGTTACTAGGAGGCCTGGTATGCCAAACCTCATTCCCAATAAAATGCGGACATTCACCGCGTTTCGCTAGGGGTTTTGGCTCATATGTTGCAGTTCAGATATCAAGGTTATTCGACGATACCGAAACAACAGCAATAGCCTAATGGTTCGGACAAAAGTGGTGATAAGTCCACAACCCATTGTGATCGATAATCATTTGCTTCACAAAAAGAAAATCCTTCACATTAACCGGTAATGTGGCGAATAATGCAACTCTACTCAATAGCTCAAAAACATGGACAATTACACGAGTGGCTATTTGGAAGGGAAAAAAACAAAATTTACACCATCAGCTTTGCCTTTGTCAATATAGATATAGATAAGCGATGGTGTTATTATGCTGTATAACAGCCAAAATGCACGACATAAACCTCCTTGTTTATCGTAGCACACTCAATGTTAAATACTTATATGTTAAACTAAACATGCCATCATTGAATTGTTTTGCTGATAAACAGTAGAACGAATACTATGTAACTTGGCATATCTTCTGAAAAAACTACTCCACATTGTTCTTTTTGTAGGGAAAAATTGTCCTGATTCCATAAAAAACACAGGAGTCAATTCGAACATATCATGATCTAAATAATCTCACAAACTACTCCAGCTTTTTTCTTAATGTCATAGTAAAAAAAAAGACCAAAAATTCCATTCATAACAATTAAACGTTCTGGCGGTCTGCCAGCTCTCAGGGTATTTGAGGGATAGGTTTACTGGAAAATTTTGTCAAAAGTGAATTTATTTATGCTTATACAAGCAATTACATGGAAAGTTATAGGAGGACTCTTATTAAAGGAACCAATTTGACTGTTTCCCCGTCAGGCAAGACAGTGAAGGAACAGTCTTTGTCATAGACAAATGCGATTTTGTAACGATTTCCACGGTAGAGGGATAATTTCTCGTTTCCATGATTTTACATCAATATTCATTTGATTCCGGAATAACTGCCTAACATAATGGCAAATTCATAGTTACAATTATCCAGCATGACTGAATATATGTTTTAGTGGATCTAAATGAGACAATTGGTGTAATTATATACGATTAATTGGCACAGATAGTTTACGAGTATTTAAATTCGTGTACGCAGCACTGAAGGAAAAAAAACAACCATTCGATATAAAAGCAATTTGTGTACGTCGTACTTTGCGAGCGTTTAAATTCGTACAGCACTGAAATATGCTGACAACCAGTTTATATTTAAAAGCTATTTTTGTTGCTTCGTAGTTATCGAATGCTTAAATTCGTGAACGAAGATACTAACTTTAATTCATAAATATTGTTCATTTGCGCGGTAGGTTAATAAATTCGAACTCGTGTACGAAGGATTGAAGCATGAAAGCAATCAGTTGTACAGAAGTTTAATAACCTCGATGTTGTGTACGCTGTATCAAAGTATGAAAAGCAACAAGTTGATACATAACAACGTTTAATATACGCAGACGCCTTATAGCCTCGAGTTCTTGTACGTTTTGTTGAAGCATTCAAGCGATTATTTTATTATTAATTCCCGATTGCTTGCAATGTGTGTACACAGCAATTACAGTACGATATAGGAAGCCAGATCATATGCACAGAAGTTCGAGAACGTTATATTCATACCCACGTTAAGTCCATTCACGATCTTCATTATATTTAGGGAAGAGGCATAACTTTTTCGGAAACTTAAATACGTGGTTGTGGTTTTCGAACGAATTTTACAAACAATATGACATAACACATATTCCATTCGTGTACGTTGCTTAGAGACACATAATAACCAAATGATACCAAGTCTGTGTTTACATAGCCGAGTAAGGCAGAGGGCAACCACATTTTGTGTTAAAAGAAAACATGGATAAAAAGACATTACAAGAATAGATGGTAAACATAGAGGATATGTATAGATGATAGATATGGGTGATACGTCAGATGAAAAGCAGGAGGAGAAATATAGTGTAAGTATAGATGGTTGGATAGAAAAACGAAAATATCTTCACCATTCATTGTAAATTCATAGTCAATAGCAAGCAATCGATAAACAAAAATCCAATTGTTGCACGTACTAAAGTTAGCAGCATATCAAATTTATTTAGTATCCCTACAACATATTCTCTAAACTTATCTTATCTTTTGAATTCAACAATTTCATTCTATAAACACTTTATTGCAATATATATTACATTATAAAATTAAGTTAAATATTTATAGAAACTGATTGATGTCGGGACAATGTTTGAAGTGTTTCGTTTTTGAAAAGGTATATGTTCGTTCGAGGTTCGAATCCAAGCTATCTCACAATAACACATTTAGATCTAAATGATTTTAAGTTTTAATCAACACATACATAATAATATATCCCAGTAAAGATATCTGATGGAGAAATGAATACAAGAACGCATCCTATCCACATATCATAGTCAACAAATGAACAATTAGCATTAAAATAATGCATAGTTTGCTTAGACTGATCATCGAGAATATCATTGTGAACTTAATAGGATATTTTTGAATATTAAGCAAATTACACAATCGTTTTCAAAATATAAAGTTATCGAATGGAAATAAATGATGGAATTGTACTTACTGTTAAGAACATTTACGTCCATGCTGACGGTCTCCAGATCAGAGCTCCGACAAACATATCGCCCACCGTCGCTCAGTAGGCTATACTCAATAACTAAACTGCTGATAAGGGATCTCCCAGGCACTTCCGGTTTATATTTGTGAATTCTAATTCGGCCCCGCCATCTTAGATCGTCTTTTACTATCATGTGACCATTATGGAACCAATCAATATCGTCCGGTGCTCGCACAGCACCTGTTGCGTTGCAATCTAACCTTATTTCTTCATAACGACTAACATATTCCGTTCCTCGGATATTTATTGCTAGAAGAAAAACATAATTTATGTATGTATAAGTACAATATATAACATGAAAAACATATCAAAGATAAAGTGCTATAAACAGATATATAGAAGAATTTAAAAAAAGAAGATATGTCAACATATACAATAACGTAATGTATTTCCAAAATAAAAGTTATAATTAGATTAAATGAATAAATATATATATACACACGCAACTTCAAATACAACATTGTGAAGCGGAAATATAATCAAAGGTATAATATGTCACTTTGTTTTCACCTGCACTAATATTTTCTCATTGCTTTGGATTTATAAGAGAGAGCATGAATTTGTAAACAATTGCATTCCCTGTTTTTAATGTTCTCCGGATCTGGGAATTACAAAAAAAAAATCCAAAAAAATCACAAGCTTACGAGAAAATATAACCCCCCCCCCCCCACACACACACACAAAAATAGTCATAAGTGGTGAACTTTCCTGAGATTTTGACCAAACAAATTCTTTTCTCGCACATCACACAAGTTTAGAGTTATTGGACGTGATGCATACGCAATCACGAACAAGTGTCCAGAAAACACTGGACAATTTTACTAAATAAAAACATGCAGAATGGTATTAACAGTGATCCTATCCTACCCTGAACAATAAGGAGTGACTACATGCGATAAATCTGGTACCCTCAATCTAAGGGGTGAATACATGCGATAAATCTGAAACCCTCAATCTAAGGGCAGATGGCACATCTGTAGGTAAGTGTTATGTTGTGGTTGCTAGTTAATGCATTAGAAGCATCATGATCAGCAAACAGTATTCTGTGTATTTACTATTTATAGCAGCTCTGTGTTAAATTGTCGTGTATATCAACAGTTCTCTCCTCACAAGAAAAATCGAAATAAGCATGCAATGGATGAAAAGGAAAATAACACACAAATGACATTCATATTTAATGTAAACAACAATTCGTTTACCTTTATGATATTCAGTTCAGTAGTAAAGAGAGATACTTATTGGTGTTATAGAAAGGTGAGAAACATGTTATAATGTTCGTATAAACGGTTGGTCAATTATGGGTAACATTCATTTAAAAAATATGGTCGAAAAATTTAAAGATGTACTGTCATGTGTTTGTTTATTTATTCATTCGGTCTATTTGTTAATTTCAGTTCTTAAAAATCAGAACCATACATGTTTATTGCTGTTTATTGTTTTCACGCCTGAAGAACTTTTTTGAAACAATCAAGACGACCAATGTTCTACTTCGAAAATACAGCTATCATCAAGAGGATTCGTTGATGAGTAATCATGGTGTATTTCAAAAATAGAATACCAGAGTGTCATAACACAAGAGCAAAATTAAAGTTCAAAATCCATACGGGAGCCAGATCTCTATGTTCGGCTTTCTATTACTGCCTTAGACACTCGTAAATCATAACCTACCAAACAAAAACAGCGAGTGTGTCATCGTAAACAAAGTTAATTGCTGTGAATAATTTTAATTTTGCTAGTAATATTAGTTCCGTAGTAATTATGATTGGTCTCAGGATTGAGTTACTATTTCAATTTACTTCATTATTTCAGTATGATATATCTTTTTATGAAACAAGACCTTGTTGCTGTCATAACTACCGTATAGAATCGGAAAATGTTTTGATAAATATTATCGCGTTTGTTGGAAAACACGCATTGTAAATAATCGATCTGAAAATCGAGGGAAAACGCCGTCTAATCATGCTTTTCTGACAAACCTATGACGTCATCGTATTGCTCAGTGTGACGTCACAATGCACGTTCTAACTATAAATTTGATTTTGTTATGGAATACATAGCTTTATTCTTTGAAATATATGGTCCAATAACCTATCGTGAGTGTAACATAGAGTCTATGATATCTTTCAATTGTTTGCTTTCGTACTTGTCGGCGTTTTGACATGTATAAGACTTGTTCGGACCTGATTGGGACCTTACCCCGGAAAGAGTGAGGAGCCGACCAGATATATATCCCTTATATATTGTTTGTATAATTACACTTGAAGCGTGTGCCGAAATACCACAATAGAACAACGATATGTTACATGAAAAACAACCGAGATGGTAAATAACCCGAGAATAAACTCTTGTAAGCCAAAAGCTATGTCAAAAATATGTACAATATTTAGAAAGCTATCGTAGAAAAAACACTGCTCTTCTTCTGGATATCTCGCTATCTTTCAAATATATACCGAACCTTGGTAAGGAAGAAGTGAACCTCTACATGTATCTGAAGCATTTATAGGCAAATGTTTTCACCCTGTATTGTGATATACACTTTCTTACCCACTATTTCCTGAACTACAGGCCACCAGGTCTAAATACACAGCATTGCTAGCATATCTGAGGTCTTAGTACGCATTCTGGAGCGTGTCCAGCTAACCAATATCTAGACCATCAAATACGTCTCCTTAGTGATATTATGGTAGGCATGTTTAAACTATGTCCTGATAATCATTAGGATCAACTATACCGGGGTCAACTTGACATGATTGATCTTATCTTATTAAAGCACCAAAAAATAAACATGTACTATTTTTGTGAATATTGTGAGGATAATACGTGAATATCGAAAATTTCATTTCCTTAGGCAGTCTCATTTGCGTATATGCATGTATTAATTAAAAAGCAACCACTGTTTATTTTGATTTCGTCGTGTGAAAATGTAACTTAGTAAATTTCAATCGTCTTCTTCGGAAAAGTGTTTTTTTTTTAATATCGCTCTGAATCTCGTTCCGATTTTAAAAACAACCCGAACCCGTTTGTTCCGAGATTGAGAAGGTCTTTGCAAGGAATGCTACAAACGACATTTACAACATAAACAAAAATGCATGAGAGTGTAAACACGGTGAAAATTCCATGTATTCTTGCATCAGTGAAATAAATAAAGAACCAAGCAAATTGTTCTCATCGTGAAAGAAAAGTTGTCAGATTGTCTATACTAGCAAAACAAAAATTAAAACCGATTACAATGAGATAAATAAAAAGTTTTTAAAAGCTGTTTGGTATATATTTTGTACTTTCATTTTGCATAGCGTTCAGCACAAGAATGCTTGAAACATACTGAACACACATTAACTAAATTGACTACTATGGTGAAAGCGGTGGACCCTAAGTGAAAGAAATGTATCGTAGAATGCAAACAAACACCACAACAACGTAGGAGATAAGGAGATAATTATTTCGTCTGAGTTCATTTAAGTATAAACGCGTCATGCTGAGGTGTATAATGTATGACAATTGGCAATTTCTCTTTAAACGTCGCCAAGATGGCTTTGTATAACGAAGGATTGAAATCCGTGTTTTCAAATTATGTAAACTGGCGACAAAACTGGAGACAGCGAAGCGCCAATGAGATCTAGCAACAAAGCCACACATAGAAATAGAGTGTAGAGAATGGAATGTCGCCGATCCTGTGTTACACTTTAACAGTAGAGATTATAAAATAATCAACACACCTCTAATGGAGATAATTACATACGTTAAAATTCATTTAATCAGTATTTCAAAACATGTGTTTTTGAGATGCTTTAACACTTGTAAGCAGCCTGAAATCAACTTAAACGTTTTGTTATATGCTGATGTGTTTTACAAGACAGGAGAGTGAGTTAAGTGTAAGAAGCACTAGAAAAATTATATAACTATTTTTTCAGATTTTTATCAATTATTTTCAAGGTTGACAAGTGTAAACAAGTTACTGTTCTGTTACGTGATAACATACGTAAAACATGTCTTATACTTTAAAGTGAACTGACCAACACGGAACCGTTAAATGTAAGAAATAGAAAGAAGAGCAATTCGATTGTGACATTATAATGCCCATCAAACGTTATCTGATGCTGGTTAAGAGGGATTGTTTTAGTTGATGCCATACTTTTGTTTCCCCTATATAATCCTGGTGAAAATAAATAGTTGTTAAAGGTTGCTCGTACTTTATACTAGTGATACACATCTTAATATTCGTTTAACTCGATTGGTTTTAACTGTTTATGACAAAGAAGGGAATATTTTCTGTTTACTCATCGAAAAGTATTCTTAAAAGCTTCTCTATTTATTTCATTAACACCCTTTCAACGCTTACGTCCGTCCAGTTGATTTGATACAAACGAAGACATCGTATCGTTATTGCAAACTTCAGATGCATCTTTCTTTCTTTTATATTTCCAGGACGAAATTGATTGAAACGTTACACCGGATATGATTGTCTTGTATTACTTCTACCTACTCGCCACAATCAGTAAACTTTGTAATACGTATCCTGGACGTTGATTTAACTGTTATTTTATATGTCTTGCTGTTGGTTCCTGAATTGAAGTGAAGATATTTTGCTTACAGGTAAATAGCTTTAACAACAACAGGTAAATCGTGAAGTGGCAACTTATTTTCTTGATGAATGTATTTGATAAGAATGCCAGGTACAGAGAACGCAGTGATGTGTGATGTGGAGGAGCCGACAACATAGCAAATGTCTTACCTGGTTCAATGTGCAAAGGTGAATCTGTGGAATAAATCGAATAACTTTTTTTTATTGTTTATAATGAATCAACAATAACTCAACGAGACTCTATATCAAACTCTAAGGCGATAGGCGCCAAAACACACGCTACACCAAACACTGGTATTGCTAAACTAACGCTCAGACTCTCCATCAAGCTGCAACACTTAACGCTTAGCAATTTAAGAGTCGATCATGATTGCAGAACAACTAGGTTCGAAACCAAGATAAACAGTACCAATTCATATTTCCTTAAACTTTTACGACTGGTACCGGCATGACCCGACCAAAAATGGCAATTATAGACGGTATAATTCAATGTATGGTATCGTTAATTGTTCGCTATAAGCCATTACGTACGTCTTATCTAACACCATCGTACGGCCGCTTTGTATCCTTCGTAAATATAGTATTGGTCTAGTTTGTGTAAGGTATATGACCTAGTTTATATCTTTAAGGACCTACTAACACAGTTGACTGGAAATTTTGTTATTATGCTCTGAACGACATACCCATCTATACAGGGCAAATACCTACAAAAGATCCCTTTCTGACATCCAGGAATAACTTATTGTATAAATAAACCTATATTATATAAATATGAAATCCGAAGGACTTTTTTTACAATGTCTATATGTGTAGTTTCTCTATCTTGATTAATTTTAGCGAGAATGTATACTCCACATCATAAAACAATATTCGTTGCAACAACACATAATGTATGAAGATGCTTTACAAAAAGCTTTTTTATCCGTATTTCCGAAATGGAACAGAATTTATTTTGTTTTAAAAGTTGCAAGTACGGGTATTTTCATTCTGGAATTTTTCTTTCTTTTTTTGAATATTAAAAATAATAATTCTACTACAGAAAAAAAAGTTTCGGTTATGTTTTCTGATAATCAAGCTAACAATACTCATACGAACTATTGCCTGAGAAATGTTTTTGATGTTCATGTATATCGTAGTCTACTCTTACATAGCTGTGGAGATGATGTAAGTATAGAGCATTCCAGACACAGTACTTGATACACTATTTTTCGGCCATATTTTTCTAGTTAGAACCAGAGGAACGATACACTTCGTTATGTTAGTGGAAACACAGGCACACCAATGAAATGACCGACAGAGTTATTAAATCCATTTTCATTACTTTATATTTAATATTTTGTTAAATTGATTTAAACATTTTGTTTTTATTATTGTCGTTGCGCTATAAAAGCGGGCACTCGTACACGCTGAACACATTTAATATTTATGATAACCGTTAAAACCACTTATGACAACTGCAGCTACAATTCCCACATGAAAAAGACGTTATCATTATTTGAATTTTGATAGTCATTTGTTATCCATACAATGGAACATCCAAACATCTTACGACTTTTTTTTTTCATTTAAAAGATCATAATAGTAATCAACCACTCTTGCATGCGACTTAGTTATTTTGACGTTTGAATAGGTGCATGGTCAAATTTTCATCGAGTTAGAATTAAATAGATCATGCTAAAATTTTGAGAACGATTATTATCTCAATTTATCCGTCTTATTTCTACTTTGAAATAAACTAAAATAATTCATTTTTCGAAATAAAAAATAAATAAATCAGGATATCGGAATCAGTTGTAACGAAATATATCAAACATCAATATTTCATTCTAAAAAATTGTGAAAATTGTCCACATTTAAGCAGGCAAAACGTGGAGTGGGGACATTTCGCGTGCATGAGAAGCATATTATATTGATAAATATAACATTCCAAATTTAAGCGTGCGAAAGAAATATGTTTTTTTCAACTTTACAAACTATTTGTGCACTTTTCGCTTTGGCAGAGATAATTAAAAGTGTTTAGGGTGTCAATATTTTTCAAGTCAATAACTGTGCGCTGAATTTAGTAAATTGAATAAGTGAAAATTCACACTACGAAATTTAAGCATCCGTATATACAGGAAGAGAGGAATATAGTGGGATGGAATGTTAACTGTTAGAAAGGAACACCAATGACAATAGGTTTTTGCCACCTTGAACTAAAGTGTTTTAATTATTAAGTTATCTCGAATGGTTGCAATGTAAAAATTTCCTTCCGTTTCCGTCGCTTGTTGGTCTAAGCAAAAATTGTCAATGTAAAAGATGTTTGCAAAGAACGGCACAATGCAAGGGGAACTAAAATCACTTCAGTACTGGTAAGTAAAATATTTGTGATTTAGGGGTTAAGTATCATGTACATTGCCAGTTACAATTGGATAATTAAATTATCCACACTCTACAACAGAGGTAGCTTTTAAGAGTTGGCGATTTGCTGTAATTACAACCTTAATGTTTTGATAATTGACGCAATTTATGAAATTAATGTAAAACAGGAATAAATCCTTATCGCTTATATTGTTTTAAAGTGTGAAATCTCTAATTGAACCCAACTCAAATTGTAAATTTTGTGCAATTCAGACATGATTTCTAAATAAGATCAAGGTAATAGCAAATGTATCTATCTCAACAGATGAATATGTGAAGAAAAGGAACGACAATCAAAAGTATCCAAAATTTTCTTTCACTGCCTCACGCCTATATCAAAATTTCTTTTAATATACTTATATACAAACTGTAGGTTTCTTTGTATTATCTTACATTTGAGTATAATGTTCCAATAAACTAACTGTTTTCGTGTCTTGACGTCATGCCGGTACATGACCTACTGAAACACCATGTGACACTATTAAATACAGTCGATGCACATAGCGACGCATTAAAACAAATATTTTTCTGATGTTAAGTTAGAGACATTGTGAAGTAACAAACAGATATGGCTAGAAAAGGGCAAAATTTAAAAATAAAAATAAAAGAATTCATATTTTCCTTATTATAAATAACGGGAGGAGAAATAGACTTTATAAAGTGTGGCGGAATGACGTCACCGCACTCTATACGAACATGACACTGTGGTACATAATGTACATGACTGATGTCATCACACGTTATACGTACCTAACACAGTAAGGTATACATGATGAGTATGAATGTTGGTGGCGCTGATCTGGCATTCATATTTGCCCGAGTGTCGAGGCTGCGCCCTTTTGATGATGAGGTTATACTGAGTAACCATCCCTCTCAGCTTCTTGTGGTCCACACTAAGGTCTTCTTGATTGTCGAACAATAATGTGCCGACTGTTAATGGGTAATCCAGGGATACTTTTCGCCAGGAAACCTGTAAATACATCCAAGAAAGTATTTCGTTACTAGAATATATATGACTTATACATGTACCAGCAACGAATCTCCAAACCATGCAGTACAAATACTTGTTTAGATCATATTTAATCCCTAATGCACCCCCTGGCTGTACCTCGCTTTTAGTCGTGGTGTTTAACGAGAGGAAGATTGTGGATATTGTCTCCTGAACGAGATCATTTAAGTCGTTTAACATCGATCATGCTTCTCTCTGCTCGACATTCTGATTTAAATGGACAGTGGTAAGGACTGGTTTAGTCGTTTTCAGTATAATATTTTCGGTTCGTGAACTGTTTTGAATGTCTTTCGTAAGGTATTTCAGTGAGGTAGCACTCTAAAAGTCGGTATCAGATTCGCACTATGGCAAGGAGGCAAATGCAGCAACATATTGCATATATCTGCAAATACGGAGCACAACCCGAAATAAAAGTCTATAATAAGACGCTACACTTAATGAACAAAACCAATTCAATCATTACTAATATATAGTGGATATCAACGATGCATCATGTAAACAAAGAAAGAAAACCTTGAACTTATGTATAGGTAAGGTTTTCACTGACCCGACCCATTTCTATCAGTTATCATGCGAAAACACAATAATTCTCGATATATCATTCATAATTTATGTGTTCTTTCCTCATATAACATATAAAAATAGACGAAGAACGCAAGGTTATTAGATGAATGACGTCAAACAGTGTATAACGATGTGAGTTTCTTGACAAGACACGGATATGACGAGATGCACGTATTGTTTGAAAGGCAATAGAAACAGTGAAACGACTATCTGATGCCATCTTTTGTGAACCGTGTACCATACGTTATACAGGAGAACGGCGATACAACGAGGGATGCATATAAAGACAAGCAAATAGGAAAACGAACTTAGATAAACGCTTGCAGTAAGGAAGATGACAAATTCATCAAGTTGACGAGGTTAATACTTTAGACTGGAGAAATGGGAGATCAGCTCATATGTCACCATATGATTCCAATACTTGTATAACGTATAGCCTATGCATCAATACACACGACTCGTATGGTTTGCTTGACAGAACTGTCGATGGTAGACATGATGTATTGTCTGTAAACACCAGGCAAGCTTTGTTGCATGCTGCTGTACTTTCCATAGATGAAAAACGTTCTGATGACCACGTTCCGAAACATGTCATCGATAAGAAGGCGATCGAATAATGTCGTCTGCTAGAAAGCCGGTAATAAATGAAGATGATTTTGGTGTCTTGTCAAAACGATGTTTATCATTAACCGACGATACCTAGTTCAATATTTAAAAAAAAAATGAAATGAGTTGCATATAGAATCTATTATTCTTGTTTAATGTCTACACAAATACCGCTGACGTCATTGAAAAGCGGGACGTTATCGCTATATCAGAAATGCTTATCTGGTATAATTCGATATATTTCAATAGACATATTACTTACAAATACCACATGCATCATCATTATATTCAAAGACGCAAAGAGATATGTGAGCGAAACGTTCGCTCGGTATATAAAAATTAGCTTCTATATTGAATGTCTATTGTTGAGCTTGTTTGCATGCTGCTCAGGTTGATATCAAGCGGAAATTGACGTCTGGTTTTCATCATGTGAATACAGATATGGCAGAAATGTATCTGACATTTTGGAGTTTGTGTCCAACGATAGTCTCTGCATTTAAAATGATTTTCCACTTGCATAAATGAAGGCTTAATACACGTAGCAGTTGCATGTCGAATACTTAACGTTACGTTGCCAATTGAACTTTGAATGGCAGAAATATAAGGACTGTACTGTAGGGAATGTCATTATATTTTGGTATAATTGTACCAGAAAAACACAAGTTGCGAATGCTTTTCATTAAAAGAGCCAAAGAACCTGATATTGAGACAGCACGTACACGTACCCCCGAGTGACCGAACACACCCGCCAATGGCATATTAAGTTGTATAGTCTTAAAGAAGTCACTACAAATATAACGTTAGCTCAAGGTAGTGCTGTCTCTTGTTTACTTACATCAAAAGATTTAGATTAGATTTATAACGAAAAGACACGTCAATACTAGTTGCATGTCCCTTTGACAGTTGATAAAGAAGAAATAATATTTTGTTCTCGTAAACATAAAATGTGTTAAAGGTCATGTCAGGCAAGCTTACCGTATCAAACGTTTTAAAATGTCTTACAAAAGATATCAATTTCACGTTTGCGAGCACTTCATAGTAAAGCACGTGCATTACTGGTTGGACTGTACTGCGTAACGCAAATACAGTGTACGATGACACTGCTGCACTGTACAAAGCACTTGCACAATATATCAAATCGCGTGCATCGTATTATCTATCACGCGGACGCTAACACGTTGTATATATGGACGGTCTAGCGATCTAGTGTTCACAGTATAATCAGAAAAAACGAAATGATGAATCCCTCTCCATCGATTGATCCATGTAAAGTGATATCATGTAAAATACAAGAACTGTTATATGCGGTGAATCACTTTTCTAAGACGTTACCGTGATCTTTGCTTTGACTCGCTCCTTTTACTTGGAGTCTGTTACACGTGCATCATATTTCTTAATTCAACTTTCAATAGCATCGATTCCCAAAGGATTTTCCATCCATTCGTAATATTTTGCAGACATTCATTAAATCGGCGTAGGTGTTATACCAAAAAATATAATCGACAGAGTTCTCTATAGTTCTATGCTTCTGACTGGAACTGGATTGCTGATTAAACGTGAAGTGTACAGCTCCTGGGAACTGCATTTCAAATGTATTAGTTGTACAGGACAACAATTCAAAAGAACATGAAATTCCAACTCGAGTGTTCTTGCCGATATGAGACCAGTAAATACTGCAATGACGGTACATACGCAATGCTAATGTGTCGGATGGTTGAAGACTTTCTCGCCTATATGATCACAGCAATAACGCCTTCTTGCAATAGCAATAGTACAAGTCTATGCTATTACGTGGCACGTGTACTTTGGGCGTGTAGTCGTAAAATTACCCTAGAAGGTGTCCGATATCCGGAGAATGAACTTAATCACGTGATATTAATACATATGCAATTTCTTATAGGAGAAACCTTTCCCATGAATACGATGGCACCAATCTTAGAATACGTATCGACATCATATACATTCCTGCCGTTAAATTAAGGTAAGGACAATAATTTAAATCTACTAATAGCTATGAGGCATGTATTTTAAAGATATTTCCGTAGTAAATAAGCTTAATCTTATCTCAATTCAGTTAATTAACTTCAGCGATTTTATTTCGTTGTTTGAATTCAGATGTATAGTATACAAACTTGAGAGAAGGCTCGGTTTTCGCTTGCATTAAGATCATTTCAGTATTTCTTCAACACAAATAATGAAAATCATCCAGAATACATCAACAATATACCAAGATGTTACTATAAAATAGTCATCATGACTTACCATCTTTTAGTCGTCAGATATTATCATTTGTACACATTTAATTTTCGAGATTTTTGAAAGCCGAGTCGTATTGACGTGTTTCCAAGACATGCATAGTACGTTTCACCGTTAATGGTACCCATTGCGATAACTGTCGGCACGACTCCTAGAAAATGCTTGAGGACATCCATAGTACTAGAAGAAATTAACCTCTGTCACGCAGTTCTACTGGGTGTACAGTTTGGGAGGCTCGGTAGTCTAGTCGTAGGACGCCGGGCTCGTGACCGAAGGGTTGCGGGTTCGAGTCACGGCACGGCACTGTGTTGTATGGTTGAGCAAGATACTTTACTCCGCTTGTTCGAGTCTACTCAGCTGTAAATGAGTACGTGGTCGGGCAGTGCTAGAATTGTTGAATGCTAGTTGTGAGCGCCGAATTGGCAGCTCCGGCTGTATGCTCCCCAGTGAGTTGAGAAAGGTTTTGGCTGGTTGCAAAGGTCCTATAACCACGGATAATAATTTGTGAACCGCTTTGAGACGACCTACGAACTAGGTTGTGATAAAGCGGTATATAAGAACCAAGATTTATTATCATTATTATTATTACAGTTGTGGTTCTTATTGGACAAGTTCTTAGCAATATTTGGAGGACTTTGATAGCAATTGTTTATTTCTTTTTGGTGTTGAAAGTTGTAATCATGTTCTTACAAGTTCTAAAAAAAGATAAGAGGATATTTGCCCATGCTTTGTAGTTATTTCTGTGAGAAGGGTTGCGGCCCCGTTCGACACTGTAGTAGCTAAAAGCTGTGTAGAAGGTTGTGAGTCTGTTATTACAAGTCTAAACAACATTGGAGGATATTTGCCAATGCGGTGTGGTTATTTCTGTGAGAAGGCCCCGTTTGAACAGGTTCTGAACGACGTTAGAAGACACTGTAGTAGTTAAATTCTGTGTAGAAGGTTGTGATTCTGTTCTTACAAGTCTTAATTACATTGGAAGACATTGGTGGTTGTGGGTGTAGTTAACCGTGGAGGTTGTCCTCTGGTCGTCACGAGTTCTGGATAAAACTGGAAGATATTGATAGTTATTGCGTTGGTTAAACATGTGGATATATGAACCATTGGGTCGATTCAAATCAATTACAATGAAGTAAGTAATACCAAAACAAGATGGGGTTGACATTCAAAAGCACCCCCAAGATAAGCAATTGTTTATTGCAAAGCCATTTTTCGAAACGACAAATGTCGCGTCTGTCAATGTATTGTGTACTGACATAAACCGTGATTGCGTATACAAGATAAATTAATCAAAATGCGATGACGTTCAAGTAGGCGTGTTGGTATTTTGGATGATTTCTGCGTTATTGTCAGGAAAGATAAACTACCTTTCAAGACATCACAGGATTACTTTTTCATATGCGTTGTTGTGTAACATGTAAATCTTACTTACAGAGTTTTATAACAGAGTGACATATTGATCATCCAAATATGGGCAAACATGTTCCGCAGCAATTCCTGACCAATGTCATACACACAGATGTATGAAAAACAGTAGA